TTTGTTCATTTTCCATGTTTGGAGTCTAAGTTTACTAATCAATCAACCATTCCATATCTTTCATTCTTGAGAATGGTTTCAACCAATTGAGGTTGTTCAATACATGTAAAGGAGACCTACACTTAATGGCTTAATCTCTTCGGAGATTCATCGTCAACGATGTAGTCTCTCTCTCATGTCTTAGAAGAACCTCTTGATTGACATTATTTCTTGTTTAGAGGACTTTAACACCACCATGGACAAATGGACTAAAGAATGGCAAGGCTTCATAAAATTGGCTTAAAACTTGGATCAACACACATGAAGAAAATGGCTTAAATTGCTTAGACTTAGCCGAACGTTATGCCAAGTCCCTTGTGTCAAGAGTCGTTACATGCTAATTCATGGCATTTTGATGATTCTTGAAGCGTTGCAACCTCCCTCTTTGAGTTCATTCCATGACAAGAGGGAGAGGTGGTCTTATTCATTGCATTTCATTGATTTTTGTCCAAAATTGTATCCAAGACCATCAAGCAATCAATTTGCTCATTGATGACTTTGGAATTAGTTTCAGCCTTCTCTCGAGGTTTTCCCATGACAAAGGAAGAAGAAAGGGACAAATGGAGCTTGAGGACACTTTGTTTGCACTAGTTCACCTTAGAACACAAAAACAGAGTTTTGCACCAAATTTATACACGACAGGCCATCACTGAGGCATGGCCGGCCCTCAGTGTATGGCCAACAGTGCAATTTTGCAGGAAAATAGAGACGATGGCTGAAGGTGAAACAGAGTTGGCTTGGGCAAACAGAGTGGCTCTCAAGCGTTGTGAATGCAACCTTCATCCATCATGGACATTAGACCAACATGTTAAACTCTGAAAGTGTATAGAGGGTGATGCCAAATCAACCATGTTATGCAAGTAAGGCATGCAACAATGGCCAAAACTTGAAGCCAATAAAGGGGTCCAAACCATAGCTATGTCAACCAAACCCCAAAGGACCAAAATGACTTAAAACAGTCCTAAGGCACTCCAAAACAAGACTAAAGCATGCATAGATCATGGTTAAAACATGCTAAGAAATGGATGCAAAACAAAGGGGGATTTAAGGCCACAAAGAGGGCACTCTACTATAACCACCCCAACCACATATGGCATGGACTAATCAATGCAAAATAGAGTTTTAACATGCAAAAGGGAGCCCCAAAACCCCCTGATATGGCAGCCCAAAGCCTCAAACTCATAGGCATGCACAATGACTCATTTTAAGGCACAAAAGAGCATCTCTTCAAAGCATGGAAAGGATGATGAATGCAAGCATACAAGCATGGATTATGGACTGAAATAGCATGGAAAATGATTCCAAATCACTGAAACAACCCAACTAAAGCATGTTAATGACTCACACACTCAAGGCTCACAAGGCAAAATGCATGGTGGCTATACCAAACATGCCAAACATGATCAAATCAGTACCCAACAGACCTCAAGCATGATGAAATATGACCAAAAGCTTCATGAAGTCAAGCTAGAATATGCAAGCATGGAGGGGCAAATGCATGGCACATGTTATGATAATAAATGGGGTTACTAGACAAGTGTATGATGCATGTAATGGACCATCAATCCGACCAAAAACAGAGGTATAATGTGACCAATAACACCCAAAAACCTCTGAAATGGAGCTAAGTAAAGCTAAGCATGTATGCTACCCTTATGAGCCAAAAACATGAACAAATGAGACATAAAGGGAGAGGGGTGTCCCTCCCCTATACAAGACTTTCAAGACCCCTTCACCACCACTGAAAATCCACTGGATTTCAGTAGTGAGAAGGCCAATACACAAAAGGTTCCAAAGCTCAACAAAGAAGGCACAAAAGGGGCCAAGCAAGGCCTAAGAGGGGGAGGTCGACCCCCAACACTAAAATGACCTTAATGAAACATCTTAAACATCAAAAAATAAAACTTTTATCAGTTATACACAAAGCTCAAAACAACATGCAAGGTGGGTTAAAAGCTAGTGTAAGAATGGGGAATATAAAGTAATTATGCTCTCCCTTGAAAAACACTTGAAGAACAGCAACCTCAGGCCCCTTTTCTGATCAAAACCAGCTTAAAAGCTCTAAGAACAACCTCCCAACACCTCAATAACCCAAGTATGGTGTAATACTAGGTGCCTTAGTGCAAAACTAAGAACAAAACACCCTTTTAGACCCTCTAACACACACAAATGAAGAGAGAGAGAAAGTTGCATATATCATGTATCTTTGGTTTTGCTGAACCTCTTCAAAGGAGAGGGAAGGCTCTCTTATATAGAGCAAGATAAAGACCTAAGCTTCTTAAAGAAGCTAAACAAAAGGGGTCAAGGAGGTCAAGCTTCTCAAGGAAGCTAAGGTAAAAGGTGCAAGCTTCTCCAAGAAGCTAGAGCAAAAAAGGTGCAAATGGTGCAAATCCTCCATACACGTGTATGGAGGACAAGTCCGTGCACTCCAGCTAGCACAACTGGCATGCACAATGCCTGAAAAAGGCAAAAAGGAGGTACCGACCAAAAAAAGAGACAATCGGCCAAATAAATGGCCGATCGACCAGATATCCGTGCCGACCGACCAAATATTTGGTCGGTAGAAAGAAAGAAAGGTCGGTGGCTTCATGCCACGGCTGGTGGGTTTAAGGGATAGCTAACAAGCCACTTCCTACCCTCAGGTGCAAGAACCACAAATTCTTGGTCCACAACCAAGCACAAAACAGTCAAGTCGAGAGATCCTAAGGCAAGGCGCGCAGCCGAGTTCTTCGGGATCTCAAAATGAACACGAACATGGATAATCACCGAGTATTCAAACGATGACGTCCAAGTCTTGAGAATGGTCAAAAATAGGATGTCTACAGTGACAGATTATTTTGCAAGAATGATGGCAATCGCTAACAAGATGCGGATCTATGGCGACAAGGCAGAGGATGTCACCATTGTTGAGAAGATTCTTCGATCCATGACACCAAGATTTAATTTTGTTGTCTGTTCTATAGAAGAATCTAATGATGTTGATGAACTTTCAATTGGTGAATTGCAAAGCTCTTTGTTGGTTCATGAGCAAAAAATTAACCAACCGGAGAAAGAAGAACATGCATTGAAGGCCTCATTTGAAAGTCACTCTACACAAAGTCGGGTTGATAAAGGACAAGGAAGATGTACAGGTCGCAGTAGAGGAGGCAGAGACAACAATGATCGTGAAAACCAACAACAAAACCATCACCAAGAGAATCAATTTCAAGGAAGAGGAAGAGGACGTGGAGGCCATCAATCAACTAGACCAAAGTTAGCAGACAAGTCCAATGTTAAATGCTATAGATGTCATAGGTATGGCCATTATCAGTCAGATTGTCGAACTAATTTGAATAGACAAAGTAAAGAAAGAACTAACTTTGCAGAAAAAGAAGAAAAGGTGTCTCTTTTGATGGTGTGTCACTTGAAAGAGGAAACCCACAAGAATCTGTGGTACTTAGACACTGGTTTTAGCAACTATATGTGTAGTGATTCTAGTTTTGCCACTTCGTTAAGTATGTCAAGGATCGAGCTGCCCGGTCAGCTCGTGGGGGTCCAGGGGGCAGCGCTCCTTGGCGGGTCCTAGGGCAACGCCCTGGCAGGGTTGAGGGGCAGCACTCCCGAAGCAAAAATGCAAAATGCATTAGAAGTTGCTTGTCTGCTCGAGTAGCTGTTTACGCGCTTGAGCGGAGAATGTTTGGTTCCAGAAGTTTGACCTGTCTACAAAAGTACAGGGAAAGTGTATTTGACGCTCAAGGGGGGCTTTCCACGCTCGAGTGGACCATGTTATATCAGTTCGTGAATCTGATATTTCAGATCACTTTTGTATATCTCTTTCTCTCTAAAAACCCTTTCCTCTCCCTTCTCTCTATATTTCCCTATGCCAAATTGGATCAAAACCTTGATTTCTCAAGATCCATTAGAGTTCTGCCATATGTTCTTCATCAAAGTTGGTTAACTTCTCGAGGGCTTCGTTGTGTGTAGTGAAGATCGAGTTTCGACACCATTGATTTTGGGGGTTTCATCTCATTTCTTCTTCAAAGCTTGAGGTAGGGATTTTCTTAGAGTTATATATATATTTTTGCAAGATCTATATGATTTTTGAAATCATCTTTCGATAGCTTTGAAAATTGATTGTTGATTCAAGAAGTTGAGCGATTTTGAAAGTGGGTTTGTCTCTTGTTCTTTTAAAATGATCTTATGGGTTTTTATTTTCATTGATTGAAGAAAAGATGGTTTTGGGAAGTTTTCTTTTAAAAGATTTGAGTTGTATAGTTTTGGTGAGAAAACCTAGAATTTGGGAATTTTTTTTAGAATACTGAAAATCTATAAATGATATTGTTATATTTATTTTGTATGTCAAAATAAATGGATCTTTGAAAAATTTCTTATTTATATTTATATAAGTGATGAATTTCAAGGAATATGAGAATTGTCGTTCATTTTGGAAATTATTGTTCAAAACGTTGAAATAGTCTTGAAATAACTAATTGTTAAGGATACTTGAGAAGAGGGAATTGTGTTATTCCTTGGATGATGAATTGGAATAAAAATATTTGTATTCATCTTGTGAAATTGGCATATCAATTCATTTGATTACATTAAATTTTGAAAGTTGATTTGAAAACTTGCATTGAGAAAAGAATGTTAAGAAATAAGTTTTCATGGAATGGTTTAAGGGTAAATACGTTGATAAGTCTTGATAGGTTATGTAGATGATATTGAATAAGTTGGCCTGAGAGTCCGGGGTGAAATACTGGAAACCCGCGCGGATAGGTGTCGAGCCTTCCGGTTAATACCGATAAAAATGACAATTTGGTAGTACTTGTATAGTCTACTTGCATACATCGACCTAGGAATTACCAGAGTCGTATTTACCGCCCTTGAAATAAATTGTTAAGTTGTGAACAATTGAAATTGCATGATATCATTGAGCATGATGGTTTTCAAAAGATGAAAATGTGATTTATGTTAAAAAATGACATAGCATGGCATGTGCATTTAATCTCTTAAGACTTGTATAAAATGTATATACTTTGTTAAGGATTTCCTACTGGAATTTATGCTCACCCTATGGGATTTTTGTGTAGGAAAAGATGTGGTGATCCCACCTAACTAGGGGCGTGGAAATATGTGTGTTGGGAGTACAATGCTCTTATTTTGCTGTGACTCTGTATGTAAGCCAAGGGCTGTGTTTGTGTGGGTTTGAATAACCGTCTTGTGTAACAAGGCTCAAGCCTTGGAAACTTGTTAACCCTTGGGGATATTTATTTGTTGTTAGATTAATGTATTGTTGCATGAAGAACTATTGTATCATGTAATGTAAGTTTGGAGATTTATATTCGATTTTCCTTGAAAGAGCCATGATTGTTGTATTATCATTGGGGCTAGAAATTTGGGGCGTTACAATATGTGTAGAGAGAAGTCTGCATTCTTTGAGTTAGACGAAGCCTTTCGTGATGTTGTGAAGTTTGGTGATGATTCTAAAGTCTTCATTATGGGAAAAGGAAAGGTAGCAATTCAAACCAACAAAAATTCTATCCAAACTATCTCTAATGTTCTCTTTGTTCCAAATTTGAGAACAAATTTACTCAGTGTTGGTCAGCTTCAAGAAAAGGGATATGGAATCTCTATAAAAAACGGAGTCTGCAGAATTGTAGATGAAAAATTGGTCTTGGTGGCTCAAGTAAACATGACAGCTAACCGAATGTTTCCATTGTATCTCAACAGCACCACTTATTCATGCTTCTCAGCAAAATTGAGAGATGCAGCACGGCTATGTCATTTTCGCTATGGCCACCTAAACTTTGGTGGCCTGAAGACTCTACAACAGAAAGATATGGTGATTGGTCTTCCTCAAATCACAGCTCCCTCAGAAGTTTGTGAAGAATGTGTTGTTAGCAAACAGCACCGTAATCAGTTTTCATAAGGGAAATCATGGAGAGCGAAAAAGGCGTTGGAGCTTGTTCATTTCGACATTTGGAGGTCAATAACTCCATGTTCCAATGGAGGTAAAAGATACATAATTACCTTCATTGATGGAAGATATGGGTCTATTTGTTGTAGGAAAAATCTGAAGTTTTTGCAGCCTTTAAAAGCTTCAAAGCGCTTGTTGAGAAAAAGGTTAGACAACTCATAAAAGTTCTTCGCACGGATCGTGGTGGAGAATATAATTTACATGAATTTGTAAATTTCTGTGAGACCCATGGAATCAAGAGGCAACTTATTGCAGCTTATACGCCCCAGCAAAATGGCATTTGTGAAAGGAAAAATCGCACTATTATGAATATGGTGCGAAGCCTTTTGTTAAGAAGTGGAGTTCTAAAAAGTTTTTGGCCTGAAGCAGTAAATTAGAGTATTCATATTTTGAACAGAAGTCCCACTCTTGCTGTTCAAAATATGACATCGGAGGAAGCATGGAGCGGACGAAGACCAACGGTGGATCACTTTAGAATTTTTGGGTGTGTTGCATATGCCCATATTCCAGACGAGAAGAGGAGAAAGCTAGATGATAAGGGAGAAAAATGCATATTCCTTGGTGTTAGTGATCAATCAAAAGCTTATAAGCTATACAATCCTAGCACCAAGAAAATCATTATCAGTCGAGATGTTGTTTTTGATGAAGAGAAGTTCTGGCCATGGAACAATGATGGTGTTCAACAACAAATTCCTGCTATTTTGATGGAGAGAATGAAGACGGAAGGCAGCAGCTGGTGGAGAATGAACAACATCCAATTCCAGCACCTACCGAAGAAGAGGAACGACCTCAACGTGCTAGAAGAAGACCAACATGGATGTCAGACTATGAGGTAACCGGAATTGATTAATCTGAAGACACACTCACTCACTTTGCTTTATTTTCGGACTGTGATCCTACAATTTTTGAAAATGCTATCAAAGAATCAAAATGGAGGAAGGCTATGGATGAAGAAATTGCAGCCATCGGAAAAAATGATACATGGGAGTTATCTGATCTTCTAGAAGGGCTCAAAACAATTGGTGTAAAGTGGGTTTACAAGACAAAGCTGAAGGAGAATGGTGAAATTGACGAGTACAAGGCCCGCTTGGTGGCTAAGGGCTACAACCAAGAGTTCAGTGTTGATTACAAAGAAGTCTTTGCTCCGGTTGCAAGGCATGACATAGTCAGATTGGTGATTGCATTGGCAGCTCAAAACTCATGGCCTATTTTCCAATTGGACGTGAAATCAGCATTCCTCCATGGAGATTTGAAAGAAGAGGTATTCATTGATCAACCTCCTAGTTATGTGAAACTTGGCAATAAACATAAAGTATATAGGTTAAAAAGGCTTTATATGGATTAAAACAAGCTCCACGGGCTTGATATAATCACATAGACTTATTTTTTGAAGGAAGGATTTCAAAAATGTCTTCATGAACATACACTTTTCATAAAAATTGAAGATGGAGGGAACATGCTCATTGTTTGCTTATATATAAATGATTTAATCTACACTGGAAGTAATACAACCATGTTTGAAAGTTTTAAGAAATCCATGATGGTTGAATTTGAGATGTCCGATCTTGGCATGATGCATTATTATCTTGGCATTGAAGTAGTGCAGTCGCCTATTGGATTTTTTATTTCTCAAAAGAAGTACGTGGGAGAAATCTTGGACAAGTTCCAGATGAAGGATTGTAATCCTGTGAATACACTATCTGAGTGTGGCTTAAAGCTAAACAAAGATAATGGAGGAACGAAGGTCGACAACACTCTTTACAAGCAAATTGTGGGTAGTTTAATGTATTTGACTGCAACAAGGCCTGATATAATGTATGCTGTAAGTGTCATTAGTAGATACATGGAGTGTTCTACAAAGATTCATCTCTTGGCTACAAAAAGAATTTTTCGGTACTTGCAAGGTACTAAGGAGTTTGGGTTGTTCTACAAGAAGGGAGAAAAATTAGATTTGTATGGCTTCACAGATAGTGATTATGCAGGAGATTCAGATGATCGGAAAAGCACGTCGGGGGTATGTATTCATGATAGGGACAGAAGTAGTTTCATGGTCATCAAGGAAGCAATCAATCGTGACTTTATCAACTACAGAATCTGAATTTGTTGCTGCAACAGTTTGTGCTTGTCAAGCTGTTTGGCTAAAGAAGATTCTCAAAGAGCTATAGTTCAAGGAAGACGAGCCTACTCTAATTTATTGTGACAACACTTCAACAATAAAGCTGTCAAGAAATCTTGTTCTATATGGCCGAAGCAAACATATAGACATGAAGTATCATTTCTTGAAGGATCTCACGAATGATGGAGTCATTGATCTAATTTACTGCAGAAGTGAAGACCAAGTTGCTGATATTTTAACAAACTCTCTCAAGTTTCCTGCATTTTAGAAGCTAAGAAAAATGCTTGGTGTTTGCACTTTGGATACCTTCAGTAAATTGAATGTTGAAGCATCAGTTTAAGGGAGGGATTTTTGGAATAGTCAAGGAGTTGTCCTAGTTTTTAGGAAGTTTGTTTACTGCTGTTCCTAGTTAGTTGCTGTACATGGCCTACTTTGGCCTAGTTTTTTAGGAGTAAGTTGAGTTTGTTATGTAGTTACTGTAGTTCCTATTTTCATGCTTTAGTAGTTCCTATTTTCTAGCTGCTATCAGTTTGTTTACTTGCCTATATAAAGGCCGTTTGGTTTATCAATAAACAAAGCAGATTAATATACTCTCTTTCCCAGCTCTTATTGTGTGTAAAAGTCTTTCTCTTCTTCATTTTGCAACAGTTGTGCCCATGGATATATTGGATAGATGGTTCAAGAAGTTTCAGGAGCGAGCCAAGCGCAATCCTGAATATCTCAAGGGTTTTTCATTGTAGCTCTCGAGGTATATATATGAATCAATGTTTGTGCTGCTGATGTTTATTTATTGAATGTTGTAGGTTTTGTTTATTAACTAAATTATTATAAGTTTTGGAATTAGAGAAGAAGAGGTGTTCTTGTTTTCGATCATTTTCGATGCATTTGCTTTGATTGGTTATGTATGTTTTGGTTTAGGAATTTGCTTTGAGAAATTGCATATGTAGGGGAATTCTTGAATGCTGTTTTGTGGACAAAATGAGACAGCTCATCTCCCGTTTATTTAAAAGTTCAAATTAGTGTGGTGAACAAGTTGAAACAACACTTATAAATGAGACTTTTTTCAGTATACTAGTCTGCATTACTTTCCAGAATAGACAAGCGAAAAGTTTAGATATTTTCATATGCCTAGTGTTGCAGAGACAAGCTATAATCATTTTTATCGGTTTCTATTTGAAAGAAATTATTTGTCTTGCAATGTGTCTGTGCTAGAGTACCATCTCATTGTGTCTATTTTGGATTATACCCTGTGTGTATATGATCAACATGTCATAGATAGCAAGTTCGGGAATCAAGAAGAAACTTTTTTCCTTAGTGTTAGTGTCTTTTGATTGTACACAGTGCAGTGTTTGGTCTTTTCCTTAGTTGGTGCCTCGCTAACTAAACTCTTGTAGTGGTTTCGTGGGGTTGCATATGCTTGTGTTGTCTTGAAGGTGCCAACCTCGTTAGGATGTTCTTGTTTCAACTATGATGCAATTTTTTCCCTATGATTTTTTATTGATATGTAATCCTTTGATTTAATTATCATCAATAAAATCTTCATTTTTGCCGAAAAAAAAAAAAAAAAAAAAAGGGTTAAAGGAGCAAAATGACAATTGTCACCAACATGATCAACCTATCTTCTCTATTTAAGTTGGTTCATTTTCAGCAAATCACACACTTACTCGTCTAAAACCTCAAAAGTTTTTCGAGAATTTAGACATGGATGTTGACCTTGAGGACACCCCTAACCAAAACCCATTACGAGATAAAGGAAGGAGTGGAGGAAGTTCAAATCCAAGTGGTAATGAAAAAAAAGAAAAAAAAAAAAAAGGAAAAGAAAGAGAATAGGAAGGGCTCTGGCCCTCAAAGGAAGCCTTGGGGGGAAACTTAGGAAACCATTTATATCTTTGATTGTTCTAATAATAAGGCCTTTTGAATTTGGAATGTAAGGGTTTAAATTGACCTATTTCTTTGAAGGAAGTCAAAAAGAACATCAGGAGATATAATGTGTCCTTTTTTGGCATTTTGGAGACAGAGAGTTAGAAGTGTTAATAAGGATTGGGTTTTTAACTCTCAGTAAAGGCTGGGCTATGATCTCTAACTATAATTGGTCTACCTGGGGTAGAAATTGGGGGGGGGTCTTTTGGGATCTTGATGTTCTGGAAGTCGAGCACATCCATTGTAATGTTAGAGACAAAGGAAGAGAAACTGGATTGTTTTGTCTCAACTATATCTGGCAATAATGATACTCAAAATAGGTTAGGATGTTGAGTTTTCTACTGTTGTGCTCTAACAATCCCCTTGGCTATTGTGGTGACATTTTTTACCATTAGATTTATGCATGAGTGGATAGGGGCTCTGTCAAATGGCCTTCTCATAGAGACCACTGCAATAATTGGTTTTCTAACGTTGAGAATGACAATTTTAATACAAGTAGGATGGCAATTTATCAGGACCAATGGCAAAGATTTAAGGAAAATTGACATAGCCCCTGTGAATGAGGCTTGGACTATGAGGTTTGCCTTTGTCGAAGGTAGAGTTTCTTCCTGCTAACAATTCTAACCATAGCTCTATTTTGATCCTAGTGATGCCTGGTCCTTTAAGACCAAAAAGGCCTTCTACATTTTTTTTAGGGTAAATTATATTGACACCCCTGAGGTTTGGTCTAATTACATCTCATTCTCTGATGTTTTGGAAATTAGATTGTCACTCCTGTGATTAATAGTTTCTTGGTAAAAAAACAGAAGAAATTATATTGAAAAAAAAAAGAGTAAAACAAAGGAAAGAGACAAAAAAAACAGAGGAAGTAAAACAAAGCAAGAAAAGCAAGAGTGCATGAGTTCAATGTTTTTATTCTGTCTAAATAATTACAATGATATGGTGGTTAGTGTAATTTTCTAAACGTTAGGGACGATATGTATTAAACCCAAATCTCATGGGGTGTAAGTGTAAGTTACCCTTTTTTTTTATCGTTGATTTCTTGAATATTATTTTGGTGTTTGGATTAAACAAGTCAAGGGTATTTTTCATGGATTGGATCAGAAGTTGAAAATTTTGAAGGTTGAGCTAAAGATGCTGAACCAACGAAGCAACAGTGACATTTTCAAGAGAGTGTAGGAAGCCAGAGCTCAACTAGAGAGTATCCAAAAGAGAATTTGCTTTGAACCCTCAAGATGCTAATTTAAACTTTTGAGGAAAAAATTCCACCCTTATGTTGTGTTTGGTTAGGAGATTTAGAGAGGAATTTGGAAAAGGAAAGAGAAAATGTATGTTATAGCGATCCTGGGTTTACCGTTGTTGTATAGTGATCCGGACATGTGTCCGTGGATGTTGGTAGTTGATCATTATCTTGTTTACATCCTTTCTTACTTTGTATTTGAGTTATAGGATGTGTTGGGCAGGTTTGTTACAGGTTGGTTGAGTTTAGAAACCAAAACTAGTTGCCCAGATTTTGACCTGTCCGCTCGAGCGGGGGTTTTGGCGCTCGAGCGGGAGTTTCACCCATCCAGTATTTCCTGTGCAGTGTTCGACGCTCGAGCGTGGGACTGGCCGCTCGAGCTGGATTGTGTGAGTGACGCTCGAGCGGGGAGTTGGGAGCTCGAGCGGGAGACCTGTTTACAAAAGTTCTGGGAGTGTGTATCCGGAGCTCGAGCGGGGGATTGGCCGCTCGAGCGGGAGTCTGTGAGTGACGCTCGAACGGGGCGTTGGACGCTCGAGCGGGGCGACTGGGTTAAAGTTCCGTGTTTTGACCTTTCAAATCACTTTTTCACTTTCTCTTCTCTCTCCTACTTTTCCAAAAACACCATTGTTGAGCCTCTCACTCTAGAACTCTACCTTCTCTCTAGGTTTTGATCTAGTAGGAGTGATTTGCTCACTCGTTTCGTCAGTGATTTGTTGATCTATGAGATTTCTAATTTCTGTTTTGGCTTCATTTTAATCTGAAAATTTCGGGATTTGGAGCACGTTGGGTTTTGTCATCTTCTCCCTTGGAGCTCCGGATTTGAGGTAGGGATATCCTACTATTCTCTATGGATTTTGTCTTTAGATTTTAGTATTTTGAGATGTTGGGGTTGGTTTGGTAATTTTGTGAAAGTTTGGGCTTTTGTGTAATTTTACAAAAGTTGGGGTTTTATTTATAATAAACCGAGACGCACGTTTGGCATAGAGAAATGGAATAAATGTTGAATCATTGATGAAAATGGGACCTTAAGGGTTGTAATGTTAATTATGGAGAATGCCCTAATTACATTGTTTGATTAATTGGGTTAATTAATCGTGAGAAATGAGGTTATGAAATAGAAATGTTGAGATTGGGAATACATGGGATTAAAGGGTGTAGTTGGATCTCATGTCACTCACCTAGTTGGAAATGCTGATTTTATATCCATTTGTTGCATTTATTTTCTGTATAGAAATAACTGCTTTGGGCTATCGGTGGAGGATAGTCGTGATTGTTGTAGACAATGCATGATGATTAGGCAAACGAAAACTAATCAATGGAATGTGTCATGAAACTTGACGGTTGATAGAATACATTAACAATATGTATTGAGTGATTGTATATAGAACCAAGTTGATAGACACGGGTGCATCTCATTCTTTTGTATTTGCTGCATTTGCATCTGTTTTG